GGCATCCCTGAGTGGTATCAATCGGTGACCACGAGGGGCGAATGCCAAAGGTCAACTACAACATACGCAGCGCCCAGATCTTGGCGCAAAACACGCATTGGGGCAGCAGGAGTGGAAGGTCGAGTGTTGGCTCCCACTCCTGCCCTTTTGCTCCTCGCGGCCGCCGAGCGGTGCCACCTGCGGGTGCCCTGATTGGCACCCACGAGTGGCATCAATCGGCGCCCCCAAAAAGCCAAAGTGGGCACCACGTTTATCCATGCATTGGCAGAGATCCGCTGCAGATCTTGTGCTTCCCACGGCCTCCCGGGGAGGCCTTTTACCCCAACCTTTTGCAGATGCACCGTTTGTCCGTCCGCGAAATGCCATGTTCACGGAAATGGACGGGCGCCACAACCTCCATCCGCAAACTGTGCACCGTTTGCGTCATCGTCATTGTGGACTCCGTTAGACAGAAGCCGGCCAAGCGCATGGTAAACCGGTTTCTGTACCCGGGTATTGGTTGTACTCGCTATTCGTGATTACCCAGGTATCGAGTGTACCCGTGTTGCCCGCGGGTCATGTGCATTCGATTTGCACAGTTTGTGAAATAGGGCAAAGTACGGGTCTGGAAACTCCGGGTACCCGAGTCCGGTTTTCTCAGCCCGGGTACCATCCCTGTTAGGAGGCTATGTTGCTGAGTCATCCTAGCATCGAAATGAGTATTGACGCAAAAGGAGGAGTTTAACATCAAATAGATGTTAAGCGTACCAAAATCAACAAAGTGCCTTCCCCAACTGTCAAACGTGACATCATTTTCAATATTGACTACTTTCATTAGTGTGTCGGCATTGTCCGAAACATCAAAAGGTAGGGCGCACTGGTGATTGCGTCGACCACCTGACTTACAGCAGAAAAAAATCAATTTCGTCAGAACTGGGTAAGAGTGGGTGTAATTCCAGGGTACGAAAATGACGTGTTCGGGTGACGATCCCCAATAAACTTATGGAAATTTGGTTGTTCGTCAGACATGCCTTCTATCACATTTAGTTCTACTCCTGAAAATGCGATGCTTTAAGATCACACGTAAGCATTGAGAGAATTTGCCATGAAAATACAGGCCCTCTTGACAAGCATGATATGCGGGTTATGATGTAATTTCGCCATAACCCCCACACCCATCTGTCATTATTTTATAAAGTAAATGCCCTTCCAGGAAAGCAGTGTATCTGCAGATTTGCGAACATTGCAACTGGTGGACAGTGTGGTATAGTTAAACCATGTCCAGCATCGTCAACAAAACAACGGCATGATCACCGGAGTTAATGCAAACAAAAGCCAAAAACTTGGGCTCAGTCGTTCATGATTGTTGCGTCCCATAGGACTTACATATTTTCCCCTTGAGTACGCGCTTTCACCTGGCATCTCAACCGCTATGGTATCTAGCAAAATGTGTCGCCGCATCCTATCAAAACCCGGTCAAACACACCAAGGTAACGCCCATGTCACCCTGACCGGTGTTCCGCTTGTTCCACTTAGCAGTAAAAACGTCAAGTGTTTGCTGCCAAGCGGCCCCCAAGTTGCGACAAAGATGGCAAGGCCACCTACCAAGTGCTGGTGGCGCCACATCCATCATGGCAGAATGATTGATGCCGCCACTCTTTGCATCCCACAATCACTTTGTTCTGCATGTTCCCCTTCACCGTCAACACCCACGGCGTCCCATCATGATTGGCACCCGCCGCCAGCACCAAAGCTCACCGAATTCCAGCACTCAATCCAGAGTGAGGATCACACACATCACTAGGTGACCCTGAGAATCCAAGCCATGAGGCAGCGTGGGATTTGTGATCACCTGCCGTGTCAGCTCCACAGGCCCACCATCGCACAGCCCCATGGACAGACGAGAATGTATGACATACCCCCAGGACTTCAATCTTTGGCCTCTGCCCCACTGGGGTGGGCAGAGCCGTATTTGTATCCGGCGGGCACGACATGCCGTGCCCGCCCCTCATCACGAGCTCACACCAGCATTCACTCAACCAGAATGTCTGCCTGACATTCCCCGTCACTTCTCACCCGTCATCACTGCGCATCGCAGCCCGCGACCCATCGCCTAGCGCCTGCAACGCTTCGCCCTGCACCCCGCGGAACGTCACTCTGCACTCCGCGCTTCATTGCACTGCACCCGGTGCTTCATCGCGTTGCACCCCGCGGTTCGCCCGCTTCCTCTGTGCCATCGGCCCGTCGGAACCCACGCCAATGCTAGCCTCACGTGATGTCCAAAAACTGCCGCTCCATCAGGCCCCCGGGCGCTGACGACCGCCGTGATGGCCCTGAACGCCGTCCTTAGTGATGCACTAGAAACACTAGGAAAGAAAGGGCCGAATAACACGTGCTCAAATGTGTACAAAGTTTACGGGTTTGTGTTGTTCTTGTGTTCTCAACGTGCAGAACTTTGATGAAATGCGTTTTTTGCGTGTTCGCAAAAGTGTTATTTGGCGCCTTTTTCCTAGTGAAAACGACGCAATCACAGGCCCCATCCCGTGTCGCCTTGGGGCAAACGGCCATCGCCCTCATTCAGTGACCAAAACACAAAAGTGTCCAACAAATGTGGTCATTTTGTGGGAAGTCGAACAGTATCGCAACCGTGTTTCCTGGTATACAAATTCACAAACTGACTTTTGAATATATCGCATTTTCGTTGCAAGGTATCCAACTTTGTATTTGCATCCGTGACAGACTGCACGGAACTTCCTCGTCCACAGTGCATGAGGCGCTCATCGACCACATGGTCGCAATCACTGGACGGTTTGGCACAGACTTTGTAACAAATACGTAGCAAAATACTGAGTGTGCACGGTTAGCTAACCGAGCTATCTATAGATAGCTGACAACCGCCCCGAGAGGGAAACGTGGCGTGCAGCAGTCACCCCACTGAAGTCCATCGCCGTTTCATCCTTCTGGGCGATGCTCAAAGTGTTTGAACACAGACAATCTACCAAAACGTTCATGTTAAGAGCCGAATTAAATATGCACAAATGCTGAAACATGGATGAACATTGTTGCTGCTCATTGGTCAGCAACACCAGGACTCAATAAATTTTCGGATGTTCGATGGGATAGTGAGCTGACAAGGACACAGCCATTGTTCATGAATGAAAGATGATCATTCCAGCTCTCCAAAGATTAAAGTTACAAGCTCGAAGAGCTACGTTGTAAGGGTCCTTGTTTACTAGGTGGGTAAGTAATGGAAAATGGTGACATCTAAATGAATTAGACAAGGCCAAAGGCCAGCATCATTGATGTTGTTACTGTTCTCCCTTAGGACTTGCTGTCGTGCACTCTGTGGTGCAGGGGAAATGGCAGTTAACAGAGGTCACAGGCCGAAACCCAATTAGGTGGGTATTTGTCTATTGCACGGTATTTTTCCGGCCAAGAAAAAGCGAGACGCAGCAGACAAGGGAGATATTGAGTAGAAAAGCTCAAGAAGTATGTTTGGATTTGCGGACACATTTCTATTGCTGTTTTGGGATCTGCAACTGAGCCGTTTTGACAGTTCTGTTTTCTACTGAAAGTGTATGAGCCCTGTTACTATTCCGCTGTTGCACATTGATTTGCAACGCTTTCTGCTGGAGGGGGTTGTTGTGCCATGTTGAATTGCCGTATGGTTTGCTTTTCATCACGAGGTAATTTTATATCTTGGGTTGGTATGTTTCAATGATCAGCTGCCTGAATTACTGGCCGTTTAAACATGGGAGGAAGAGCACCAGCGTCGTGGGGGCAGAGTTTGGATCGATGATTGGCTGAACATGTGATAGGATGCTGTTGTGCCCGTCATCGCCTCCCCAGCTGCAAGGGCCTTGTTCTGCAATGTGCTCATGACAAATGCAAAGCAACGGGATTCGCACAGGCGTTGTGCACATGATCTTTGTCCGCGGTGGTCACCTCGCTTCTTGCAGAGGGAGAGCTGTGTGAGCAGCAGAATGCTGCGCTCCAGGGCTGACATTGAACTCGTTACGAGAAGTGCCCTGGAGGGAGCAAGCACTTGAATATGTCCGAGCCGACCGGTGCGGCGGACTCAAGGTGCTGACTCCGCCTTCCGTTGCACCGTACAGAGACCGTACAGCGCCTCGGCTGGTGCGGCTGCACATTGGTACAGGACGGGTACACATGCATACAGACTGGGTACTGCACGGGCACGCACTCCCCAACCCTGCCCAGTCTTCTGTGTCCACAACGAAACGCGACCCTTACAATGGAGCCCGCTGCCCCCGCCGTCCCTCAACCACGCAGCCGCCACCCGTAGGCGCACGAACGCTGCGCAGCCGTCTGTTGTCTCGCCCCTCCGCCCGCATGGAAATAGTCGCGGTCGCGCGATAGGATGGCGCCTGGCGGTGGTTGCGGCGCACGGCCACCCCAACCGGGCCGAAAGCACTGCGCGGCTAGATTCAGAGCGACATGGAATTGCCACATCGGCGCACGACGAGGTCAGCCTGCTGCAGGTCAGTTCAACCCCCGATTTCCAGTCGGTGTCTGGAGGCACTCTTGCATCACCCCAGGCCGTTTCCATTGACCCTTTTCAACCTGTCGGGGTCAGCCAGGTGGTCCTTGAATCCAGGTTCCTCTGAGATGCCGTTGAAGTAGCCAGTCAAATCGGGGTACTGCGTGCACAACACAGCCCTTGGATCAGTATCCATGGCAAAGGCACTTTGCACAGTGTTCGTGGTAAGAAAGCCAGTGAGGAAAAACCCTGGCTGACACTGTACTAGTGCCCATCAGAGGTCTTGCTCAACATCTCTGCGCTATGCTGCGACCCGGCGATGCTGCAGTGGGGCAATGACTGGTGTTCGATTGCTTCACAATTGTGCAAACTGTGCAGGCTAGATGCAATCGCTGCCAGCAGTCCTGGCCTTGCTTGGAATGATGGCTCTTGATTTGCTTATGGGCGGATAGTTCACGTGCCTTGCCATTGGCCGCGCCATGGTCATTCGTGCAAAAGTGATGTTCATGGGCATGGATAGCTATTGTGCATGGATGAGCCAGAACCAGAAGTACATTCGTGTTTTCCTAAGGCAGGTGCGTGCTGCAAATACCATGGCTCCCAGATGGTTCTGGAATAGACGTATGTTGATCTCCAGGAGGTCGAACAATGCAACGTCCGCGATGGAGACAGCGCTTCCCACAACAAACTTTCCACCATAACGTTTCAGAAACTTGGAGAAGTACAGCATGTGTGCCCCGCCGTTTCTCTCCCCACTGGTGCTTGGGTCAAATCGCTTTGTCCAATACTCCGACTTGGCTTCCTCATCCTAAAAATGCAACAGCACCAGGTCAGTGAGGATCTCAACCAGCTTATCAGCATCTTCATAATAGCCTGTGCATTTCCTCAGCAACGTACCCTGACAGCCTACTGTACTCAGGGAACTGCTGCCATATTGCAGCATTGTCGCTATCAATCCTGTGTGCAAGAAGGCCTTGACACACCTTCTGGTACAAAACATGACAAAGCATTGTACTGATAAGATTGTGCCCACCAGCTGCTTCTCATAAATCAGCACTGTATATTGCCTCCTGAAGTCCTCAACAGCATCGAGGATCATGTCGATGTGTGTTGCTTCCTGTTCAGTGCTTCCATACAAGTTGTGCTTCCTGCCTATATGCCTGCCACCAACAGAAACCACGATGTGAATTGGCTGTAGCTCGCAAGCAACACCCTTGTGCTTGCAGGGGACATGCAATGCAACCTCCTCAGTACAGAGGTGCAAACCTGAGCACATGCCACAAACGGTAAAATGCAGACATGTCTGTATGTGTCTCCCCTGCAGCGCGATCCTCAGGCACAGCGAACGAGCTTCCAAAGTTTTTGCAATAAACCTAATCCCAATCATGTAAGCAGCATCGCACAAGTCAGATGCTGCCCATTCTCCATATCGCTGTTTCATTTTCCACCAAGACCAATGTTCACCATTGTGTCTATTTCCACACTTTGTCGAACAAAGTAGGGTGCTGCTTTTATGTGTCGTCACAGTACCTCAATATGGCATTGCTTTGCACCGCATCGAAGTCTCCATCGACGTATCTGCCAGCGTACCACATGACCCTTTCAGAACACTGCTCATGAACACCTTGTGGGCCCAAGGACAGTGCTTCGCCACAGTTTCGCAACTCTATTCCACGGATTGATGTTGCTGCTCCTCCTCCTCCTCGTCAGAGCGAAACGTGAACTTGGAATAAACTGCACAATTGTTACTGCATTGTGTTCTGCGGGTGTTTTTTACCGCACATGGCCCAGTCATTCAACACTGTCAGCACCATCGCACGTTCCTCAAGCGTTGCTGCCAAGCAATTTTCTGCATGAATAAACATCCAGAAGAAACCCGACATTGGAGCGCGACAACAGCGTCTTCAACACTTTTGGCGCGGTGGCATGCCCCACTTGCTTTTGCTGCACTCCGCCGTGCACAATACCCGACAGCACGGTGCACACCACAGCCGCCTAACCTGGGCGCCTTAACAGGAATCGAATTCACCGTGTGGCACTGATGGCTACCCCGTGGTCCTGGGGGGACGTCTGAGCCGGCATGGTCTCCGCTCAGCGCCGCCGCCATCCTCACATTCGTCTCACGCAGAACAGCGCGGTGCAGCCCTCCAGATCTTCAACCCACCTGGGGCACTGCCCGAACGGAAAGCAGTCGAGATCCGACTTCAAGACCGCCCTGTCCGTGACGTTCTCTTCCTCGAAAGCCACGCCTGCGACGCGCAGGGCCAGCCGGATTGGCTCGCCACGGCCTCGGATACGGAAGTAGTGAAGGACGGGTTTGGTTGCCATTCCCGCGCACGCTTGGGCCCCCACACCGGCAGCAGTCCGCACCTTTGCAGCGGAGGTGGGTGGGAGGTGTCGGTTGCAGGAAACAATTCAGTCTGCAATGAAACCTGGAAATGGGTGCGAATGGGCGGCAGATTCCCGGGAAGCTGGGATGCCAAGACAAAGGGCGAAACAGGAGACCAGTAATGCGGCAAGAGAACCATGTTCTGAAATGGTCCTCTGACGCAATCTTCGAGTTTTGCTGAACAGCAGACTGTGGGCTGTGTGTTGACTCACGCAGTTTTTCGAGCACAAGAAAAGGGGCCGTTCAGCATTTACTTTGCCTCATATTAGTTACCCCCCTTATACCTTGTATCCAATTGTCGTTGGATTCCAGACATGTAAGAGACAACCGGACGACTGAAGCTCTGGGGTCAAGGATCAACCTCCCGACCTCCACTATTTGCCCAATGCTGTAAGCGAAGACCCTTCCTTTCTCAAACACCACCCTTGGGCAGCATTGCCTGACACGTTGTCTCAGTTCCATTTCTTCTTCGTTCCCTTTCTTGCCATTTGTGAACGTTTGTGACTATCTTCCCTCTACAGGGCAGCAGCATCCTGCATGTGCTGACTGCCTAAGATGCAACACCGTATGCATTGGAACATGCCCTAGCATACACGAAGCCATAGCCAAAAGAGCTCAGGAAAATAGCGGCTCAGGTGTTGTGGCCATACTTCCATAACAAGAAAAGTCATTTGGATGTACTCATATCTTGGTTGAGAAACCACTCATTCTCGCCATGCTCTGATTGGAAAGTTCAATCTTGCATGTTCACAATCTTCAGCATCATACTATGCCCTGACTCCTGCAAGCCAGCCTTCAAATCAGCAACAGTGACGCTTGTTTTCTCCTTTTTTGCTTCGAAAACGTACTGGTAATGCCACATGAATATAACACCCCTTTTGTTGTGGAAAGTCACTGCTTGCTTGCCAGTCCGCGGAATGGGGTTCACAACTGAAGAAGGATGTAAACATCTATCCTGTCAGATATTAAAGCCGGGTCTTGCGTCTGTTCATTCTCAACTCAGGTTCGTAGATAGTCGGCTAACCACAAGGGCGGATGTGCTTCCTTAGCCTCAACTTCATTATTTTGACAACTCTTTTGGGCCTGAGGGAGGTGATGGAGAAAAGAATATCTTCCGCACATTGAAACGCAAGGAAAATGTGGTGCCGCAATGCATGGCATCCAAGGTGAGAAGACTCTCCAAAAGTTCGGGATGGTCCCATCAGGATCATTGTTGTGCCCACACATCGATCGCAGAGCTCGACTTGCTAGATAGAATAGCACGCAAGGTGGGTGGGTAGCAACAGCCACCGCTAGTTGATTCTGTGCAACGTTTCACACTGCCTATGTGGGCTTTCGTTCTGGAAAGAAAATAGGCACACATGGCCAACCTTTTGGGGCATGCCTTTCTGAAAATGAGCCGAGCGCTCCTCCTATTCCTCATCAGCCTTTGTCGTCCCCTTCCTGCAACCAAGTGTCATCCGCCTCCCTTATGGCCTCCTGCGTTGTGGAACTGTAATAGCCGAAAGCTCTTACTCCTCTTCCAGAACAGCGTCTGGGTCCAACCCCGATCCAGCTGCGCTGCATGGGCGCTAGGATACGCACGACCTCACTCTTTACTTCTGCGAACCATAGGGCTGTATTGACGTCTTGCACGGCAACGTCCCTGGTGGCAACATCAACCGACGGTCTGGATTTTGCGGAACAGCGTTTCACGGGCCACATGGGTGTGCGTGTGTGCCAAATAGCTGCACGCTCCTCCACCAGTTGAAAAATAGAACATGGGCATGGTCTAGACGCTCATCTTGCATGCACTTCTATCAAGCACAATTGTGGGCGCACGCTGCTGCTTTGTATCTATTAGCATGAACTTGCTTGGGTGAATTGCTTGTGGGGATTTAGGGGCTTGCTCGAGCAGCAATAGAATACTCAGAGAAGGGCAAGTGGAGCCCAGCAAATGGAGAAAAAGTGTGGGCGCCCAGCACCTAGTGGACGCGCATCGCTGCAACTCAGAATGGCAGCATGGCCCATGAAAATTGCCCTCATGTGCACCGAGTCACATAATACTCTTGTGCCTGTAGTTGCATAATGACCACTGTATGACTGGGTGAGTCATGTATAAATTAGCTGGTGAGGGACTCATGTTTAACACGCATTCTGATGGTATGGGATGGCCCAAGTATGCCATCACCGGCTGCAAAACCCTATGCGTCAAGTGTATTCAGTAAAAATTGGTACACCAATATTGACCGCGGCTCTCAATTTCTGGTGAAGTTGTGCATCTTGAATAAGGACATTGCCTGGTCTGGGCATATCTCTATTTGTCCTCAAAACCACTCACTCTCAACTGAGAAGCTTCTGGTCTAAAATAAGCTAAAGAAGGCATACAAAACCAAAAGTTTGTGCTCACACCTGATGGCTTTTTGTAGGGTGGACTACCCCATACTTAGGTTGCATGTTTTATTTATTCATCAGTCACACACAGGGGAGAAAATGTTGTGGAGAAAATATATGTATTGTTTGTCATGCTCACTATTTCATCACATCACTTCTGCCTAGATTCGATCCCATATATTGATGTCTCTTTCTAGCTATGATTCGAATTTGTTTTAGTGTTTACAGAATATTGTTCCAGGCCATGTTGGTCATGTGCTTGGACCCTATGAAACATAATGGGATGCCTCTTGTCTCAACATGGGGTTGTGTTGGTGTTTCCCCAACTTGCCTATTCTTTGGTGGTTCTAGATAATAAGGGTATCACAGTATTCAGGAATATAGCTGAGTAAGTGATAGGACTTGAATATGCAAAAGAAAAAGAGAAAATATGAAAATTGGAAAAACACAAAATATGGTCAAAGCTCTTGCGCAAGGGTTTTCAGACCTGTCAAAGCACCCATTGGTGATTTGAGTGTTGAGCGTGTTATGTTGATTGGGAGATGCCACTGAGCAAGTGGCAAGGTTGGACTTTTCATAAGAAAGAAGTAAATAAGCAAATTGAGAAAAAAACTATGATAGTATTCTGAACTCCTAAATAAGGAATTTGTCAGTTTGTTCTATCATTTTATCTCTAGAAAAGAGATTTGGAATACTGGACAATGCGATATGAGCCATGGAAAATATTATTTTGAAACTTCCCAAAAGAGGCTATGATAAAAATGCATTGATTGAGTAGTTGAGTGATACAGGATAATGGTAAGGTGGGCATCTTCCCGCTAAGCCCGTGCACCCACCTCGCCATGGTGCATGAGTCATCCTGACTCATGCCGGACCACCCATTACAAAATGGTCTATTATATAGTTTAGGGAAGCCAATCATTCTAGACTAGTGATGGCATAGTTTTCGGTTAGTTCGCAGGCGATGCGCTTGCCAAGATGCCCGATGGGGCCCGGGCCCCCCTCCGCAGGATGGCCGGCAGGCTTTCCGGGGCACTCGTTTGTTTGAATGCACAGTGTGGGCTCAGGCCTATGGAATGACTGGGCGTGGGGCGGTTGTACGCATAGTGGAATGCACACTAGAGGTGGCCACCCGGATCCGTTAATAGCGGACAGAGGTTAATTTCCGTTAATTTTCCGTTAATTAATGGAAAATAACGAAAAAAGACAAAAATTAACCAAAAATTAACGGATTTTTAGATTTTTTGGGGATTTTGGGTTTTAGTCATACTTATAGTTTATGGAATTCGCTATTAGAGAGTATGTTTGTATTTTATTTCAACCTATGCATACTAGATTTTCAACTAGCCGCAGTTGTTGTGATTTTTTGGGTTTTTTTCGATTTTTTTGGATTTTTTTCGTTTTTTCTGAATTTTTCTCCCTTTTTCTTTAACGAAATTTAACGGACAGCTGATAAAAATTAACGAACCGGATTTAACGGACCGGATGGCACCTTTGAGTGGCCACCCCTAATGCACACCCGGTGTGCGCGGGGGTTTGCAGCCTGCAGGTGCAGCCGCGGGGAGGCGAGTGGGTACGGGATAGAATTACAGTTTGTCGTGCGGGATCGTTCACATGACCCCTATATGCAGCGGTACACAATGTACATGATAATGTGTTGAATATACCCGTATCGATAGTATCTCATCCCTAAGTACAGTAGGGCCCCATCCTTAAGTACTACAATTTAAGTAGCCATAACTCCACTACCGCTAACTTGTTTGGGATAAATCAAGGACCTATGGAAAGCTAACAACCTTCTCTATCTAATCTATATACAATCTCATGTTTGTTATTACTTTTTAGTGTATAACTTGGTTAAACAGCCCTTAGTAGTTTACATAATAGTGCCCCCCCTTAGGGATAGCTTCGCCCTCGAAACGTTTAAACGATGCCCAAGGATTAGTTGCCCTCAATGAACTGGTCTCTATTGATCATCTTCTTGAGTTCTTCTAGGCAAGCGAAATTCTCTTCTGGAGTCCAGGTGGCGTCATCCAAAAAATAATCTTTCCAGAGTACTAAGTACTCCTTGCGCCTCCTGGAACTGGGTTCTGCACACTGCCAATGTGGTAATTTCTCAACATTGCATGGCTTATCATCTTCGGGCTCTATGTCCTCAATCTGACCCTCCTGTATAGGTTGCACCCACTGGCTAGTTCTAAAAGGTTGCAGTAAGTCGATGTTGAATATGCTATAAATTTTCCACTTCTGAGGGAGGTCGAGTTCATAGGCCACTGGTCCCACCTGACGAACCTCAAAGAAAGGCCCAACGAACCACCTTTTTAACTTACAGATAGGTACATTCTTTAAGTTCAAATGCTCAGTTGACAGTAGCACCTGATCCCCACTACTCAACCTCTATTCCCTTCACTTCTGGTGAGCTTGAGACTTTATTCTATCTTTGGCCTGATTCAAAAAATTCAGAGCCATTGAGAAATTCCTTTTGATTTGGTCCACAAACTGGTTGATTCCTTCAATCATGGTGGAGTCATGATCCTAAGTAAGGTCTATGGGTGTACATGGATAG